CAGCAGGGATAATGAATGCAGGAGTGTTCTGTATGAACCAATTCCCATCCCATGCGCATAGGAGGCAGTGGTTCCTACAATTTCAAATTTCCTGCACTAAGTTCCTTGCCACTAAGTTCGCTTTTTTCACACCTTTCACATCCCGCACATGCGGGTCTGCAAGGATCAATAATGCAGGGAAAAGCTCACAAGGAACATTCACGAAGTATGACGCTCCGATTCGAACCAAAATTTGTGCAAATGCAGTACACAATTATTAAATACGGTAAATACAGGGTGTCCGAGAATTGTCTGGACAACTTTTTCACTAAATAAATTATCAATGAAGAGGTGTAAAAATGCCCATGTTGTGTCATTTTATAGAGAAACCTATTAAGTTTATTATGTGTAACTGTTATTTTGTTTGTACAAAAAGTTTTTCCAAAATGTTGATTTTTATAAATAAATAAAATTTCCTTTTTCAGATAAAATGCATATGGGGGTCAGAAAATCCTAAATTCACAGAAGAGCACATTAGAGACAGACCTAAAGTTAATATGTGGTGTGGTCTGTTACATGATAGGGTGATTGGACCATTCTTTTTCCATGAACCAACAGTGACCTCCGATACGTACCTTGATATGTTGCAGCACTTTGTCTATCCGCAACTGGAAGAACTGCAACCACGCATAATTTTTCAACAAGATGGCGCACCCCCGCATTGGGCCAAAATCGTCCGCAATTCCCTAAAGGACAAATTCCAAAACAGGTGGATCGGCCGTGGAGGTCCAATTCCTTGGCCGCCTAGATCTCCCGACATCACACCCTGTGATTTTTTCCTATGGGGATTCGTCAAAGATGTTGTGTACAATACCCAAGTGACAGACTTGGCTGATTTAAAAGCAAGAATCGTAGCTGCTATTCAACAAATTGATGTGGAAATGCTGCAGCGTACATGGCAGAATTTGGAATATCGACTGGATGTTTTGAGAATCACTAATGGTGCACATATTGAATGTTTGTAACATTGTCACTTTTGTGAAACAAACTTAGGATAATAAAGATTATAAAAATGTTTGTTTCATAATCATTGGTTTGACCATAATATATATATTTGAGGAAGAAATTGTCCAGACAATTCTCGGACATTAAGGACATTCCTGTACATTAAGGCCTAAGTGAAGAAGTCCTTCCAGTAGGCCTACATACCAAAATAGGTAGGTGCGGTGGCTAATCGTTAGAGGAGGCAAGAGAGGCCCAGATCCTCAATAATTTTTGAGACACTTGCCCATACAACTGGGAAATATCGATCAAGAAGTCAAATATCAAAAAGTAATCTCTCAGAACCACTTAATTCATTCTCAAGAGACGCAAATCATGAGACGTCCGGTCTCTGACCATTGACACCCAGAGTCTTAGGACGGGACGCCGAATGCCTCCCATGTCCCATTGACAAAGCCATGCATTCACGCAGCACACGCAATGCGGTGGTGTACGAGAGCAGGCAGGCCGGCCTCACCGTCTGTGTTGCGCATGGGCGGGTTCACGCTAGCAAGTGCTAGCACGTCTGAGGCTTCTTTTGGTCCAGGTAGAGAGCTGCTCGGTTATCCAAATTCGTATTGCCAATTCATATGCACGCAGTTGCCAAGGATGGAAAAGTCGCAAGATCAATTCCACATAATTGTGATATTCACTTGGCGAGCTAGATGCGATTCTGTTTGGGAGAAGTTCAGAGCAGGGGGAGAAAACCGTCAGACCCAAACTTTTCATCTTGGACCTAATGCGCCTCTACTGTGCTGGATGAAGTATCAACACCGATCAACACCCTCCTTATGATCTCAATGGCACCCGCTTACACTGCCAAAATGAAACGAATCTCGTTTAGCCTTGTATTTGCTACCTGCCATTTCCAGAAGCGCGACCCATCAGACGGAGGAATGACCTCTCAACTTCTGTGCTTCATGCGCCCATGAATACTAGGCCTACAATGTATATCTTTCTTCATGAATATCGTGCAGGTCTCCCCAGGTTTTTAGTCCACGAGCCGCCACTGGGCAGATGCGACTAGGGCCCAGGGACTAGGCTAAGTCTAAACGGATCGCCTAAGGTACATCTCGTACTGGTATTTCCACGTCGGTGACCACGTCTCGCAGCACAACGAAGACTCCAGACGTCCATGTCTCAAAGCAGATCGGTCTCAGATTTACCGTCGGTGAATCCCTCGCTCAGTTCGCCTCGAGGGGAATGTAGAAAAATCGGCGCCGTGCCCTTTCCCCGTCTCCCCAGCCAGTCGCGAGGCGAGTGTCTTTCTCGTTAGTCGTATTCTCTTCACAAGCGTGGACTGCGTCTGTTTCAGTTTCAACTGACCTGCCTCAGTGATTTGCTTTCCAGCAATCGCGACGAAAAGGACTTGCCTCAGATCAGTTCCTGTCGGGTTTGGATCGCGAAAGTGAAAGACCCTGTGCTACTTCAAGATGACAGAGTGCTAAAATTACTCGAGGGCTAAAAATTGCGACGAAGATTCGCATGGTTCTCATGCGAATGAGTCACCGAGTGAACCAGAATCGCTCAAGTCAACCGCTCAGTCCTTCTCCAGAGCACGAAAAATGATATTTCGAACTTTAGAAACAGCAATTATATCCGGGACCTTCGAAGCCCCTCGCTCGAACTCATTCACGAATCGTGAAAACTTCACGAATTCGCGAATAATTTGTGTCCAGTACACCCCCGAGTGCCGCGGGTGATTTCACACTGTTGCTCGTATCCATGGATTCCCGTTGTGATGCATTTCGATCGAGGTCATTTCATCGCATAAATTGTCTCACTTTCCTCCTCGACGAATTTAACGTCCAGCAACTCGACAGGACAGGACATTTTTGCCTTGGAGGAGCACCGCTCACAACCTGGATATTAACGGTGAGCTGCAGCACCGCCTTCCTTCTCAGTTTTATCTATTCACACTATTAATTAACGTCAATTTCTCGCCTCAATATGTTATTGCTGTGAGGTGGAAAGTGCAGGGGGAAACATCGTTGTGTTGTATTTCCTAGGAATTTATCACGGCCACTGGCGTTGAAATCTCTCGCAAAATTTTCTGCAAAGCACCGCTGCTTAAACCTTCTCAAGTACTTTCTCAGCTTTCCTTGTTGAATTTGATTTCTGATCCGCTCATCACTCTGTGAACAATGAATTATTTTTTAAAAAAAAAATATCAGAATTTGAGCTAGTGCTAGCTAGAGCGTTACGGTATGCGATAAATTTCTCGGTAGGCAGGGTAAAATACCCAGTGATGGACAGGTCCACATAAAAATGCTAACAACTAGCCTTCCTTCCTTGTTGTGACATAGGCATGCAAGCACATACACACTTCAGAGCTGCTCATGCTACAAATGCCTAGTTTCTGGAATTTTCTTGCGCCGTGGTCACTGAGTGTTTTACCCTATATCGTGCTCAATACCGGCGAGGAGCGGGGAAGGGGGGTGGGGGTTTGCTTCAGTTACAAACTTCCAGAAAAAAAACCGCGAAGAGAGTGGATCTTTCTGTTGTGATGGCGTCGAGCTAGTCGCAAACCGTAATATGCCATTCGATTGAATGCAAGGTGCATTCGATTCAGCCAAACGGGTGGATTCGGTAGGCGTGCCCAGGAATAATATCGCGATCGAAGTTGTTGGGAAAACTCAAATTATGGATCTCGGAAAAAAGAAGCATCATGGAAGAGAAACCATCTTATCATTGTGCATGGACGCACGTTTCATATTAGTATAGAGTGCTATACTATGCTCATCGAGCACAGTCAAGGCGCAAGTGTGCCCACAAATGACGGATCTCAGTCCTTGAGTCCGGATTAAATACACTCCTGTGACTTTCAGGTAGGCTTAGGTTTTCCCCGAACGGTGGGAGTCACCGTGGGTGAAGATGGGGAGCTTAGTTGACTAAATAAGATATTTCATTTTCGTAAATGGTTCTCGGTATGGCGCCGTGGCGGCAGTATATCCTTCGGTTTCCATACCGTGGTGATGGCTAGTTCCCTTCGCATATCCAGTTCATCCCGTTCTTCTCAATGTTCTGGTGCTCACCATTCATTGTTTTATGTTTTACTCCGTATGTTTTTATTAACCGAACCCATGAACTGATAGTTCTCCATCGCATTTCGGACGTCGAGGTTGAGTCGCCCTACAGAAATTAGTCTGGATGGGCCGGGCAAGACCGAGAACTGCGCGCATCCCTATCACCTTATGAGATCGCTGTGGTAGATCGTAAGCGTCTCTCGTCTCGTCTGCGCAGGCATATCTTGTGGGAAGGTGCGTGGAGCCGGGAGAAAAGGCACCTGCTCTGTGATTTAGGATTTCTCAGCAGCATCTTCAAATAAGAGATAATGCTAACCTTTCGCAGATTTTCGCGCGCATGGATTTCCTTTTCAGTCTCATGAGCTCGTAGTCTTTTCCACTTCAACTTCAGCAGGGACGTTTTGTGCCAACAACTGTTGTCGCAGACATGACTGTGGACAGTCTCTGGCATGTTGCTATAGTTGCATATTCGTTGGGATTTGGATTTCGTTATGTTGTGTCATCTCGTTTTGTAATCCAAGGGCATTAAGCCTTGTATATGATGTATGAGGAAAAGAGGCATGGCTGCTGGCTTCAACACGAATCCAGAGAGAGGTACAATAAATTGAAAATGAAAGAGGGAGGACGAGGATCTGCAATGCATATTTGAATAAAAGCATCCCCTTCATCCATCTTTTTTTTTCTCCTTTCCCTTTGATCTCAAAAGCGATTAATACTAATGAGTCGTCTTAAAACCTCTTATATCAGCAAACAGCATGCGAAATTAAGAGTTTGCCTTCGTAGGTGTTCAGTTCTTTCGGCAGATTCGTCATGTCCCGCTTCCATCTCGTCCAAAATGAACTCATTATAATACCTTGTAATTCTCGACGATTCGGTCTAACGATGCCGTGAGTCTCAAGAGAGCCAGTCCATCTTTGTTTTCGCAGCAGAAAAGGGATATATAAAAAGAAGAGATTTCAACATCCCCAAAGGCTTTTCATTGCTTAGAGTGCAGTTTCTCCTCGTTCTCGTTTGCCTTTCTTTGGTGGCTGATTCATCTGTGCAAGAAGAAAAATAATTACAGTAACGAGATGAGATGGCTTCCGATCCCAGTCCTTTTCCTTCACTGGATGAGGCATTTGGATTTCGGATTCTTCTGAGGTTCCTCGTGCTTGTTGAGGAAAGCTTGCCTTACTTCTCCAATCTCGACCTGCAAGGTCACATCGAATTTAATTTAAACTTTATGGCTTAAAATGGACTGGAAAGGTTAATGGTCCGGAATGTTTACTTTGTGGGGAGAGTTCTTGCTTTCTATTCGAGCTCGGAGTTCCGCCATGTCCCTTTCGAAGGCAGCTTGTTTCTGAGAAGAAAAAAAACTTTGATAGTTTTTTTTTCCACGAAAGATCCATTTTCTTTTGTAATGAGAGACTCACTTGACTTATTGACGATCCTGGTCTAACCAAATCATTCCCTTGTGGTTCTTCAGTTCGGATTTCGAATGGGGACTCTGTTGGGAAAAAAAAAACAAAGTTTGCGCAATCCTCGCACGTAAATTCAATATTTAAACATTTTAAGGTAGCGTGGGCTCGAAAAATCTCCGTTTCACAGGTGCTTTACAGGTCTAGATATCGAAAGTTTAAGCCCCGATCTAATCGACACTATATACCGACTCCACTAGCTTAGCGCGATGTTGGATCACGTACAATAGGGAAAATCGAACCCACGGGGTAAAGGTTGTTGATTGTTTTTGTAAGGATCATAGACAGGCTTCTTCTTCTTCCGTTCATCGGAACCCGAGAGCCTCTTCTTCAATGGGCTCGGCATGGGCACGGCCTCTTCCGCCAAATCTGCCTTCACCCAATCTGGGACCTTGGAATTCCAAATCCATTCCGACATAATTTCCAATCACCGAACTTCTCTCGAAGGAATTTAAATGTGAATAATAAAAAAGAGTTTACATCGTCCATGTCAGGTGGTACAGGGCCCTTGGTCGACTTCGGTTCCTCTGCCCTCGGCGCGATCTCGATTCCGGTATCCCTGATGCGATTCTGATTCGCACGATTGTTGGTGGGACGAGGAGGACTCCCGTTTTCGAGTTGTTTCCTGGGGATTCTTGGGATGGGGACGGTAGTGTCGACCACGAGAAAGATATTCTGGTTCATGGCGTGAATACTGGACAGGCTGACCGTCTCTCCTTTTGCCACTTGGACCGGCGACGCATACAACCTGTTTCCCCGCCCCATGTACAACATCCGTAGAGTCGTATCCATAGACCGAAAGGTGTGGAAATAAATTATTGCAATCTTAATTAAGTGAATGTACTGTAGAGAATATAATGTGCTATATAAAAGTTAAGTAAAAAAAATGGTCCCACCATTTTTGGCATTGTTCGCCCCCCCCCCCCCTCTTCCCCATATCTATCTCAGATCCTTGCAATCTAATATAAAACAATTGACCCATGGGGATCGCCTGGCATCCAATACATTCTGTGCTCAAGAATGCAATAACCCCACAAGTGAGAAATGTAAAGTAGCCCTACGCGAGGATCTCCTGCGGGTCCAGGACGACGTCTCTGAGTATGATGTCCTCGTTGAACAGGCTTCCCCGTTGAGATCCTCCCGAGTATGCCACTTCTGGTACCTGGTACACCAGATACGACAAAAAGGAAAAATCATAGCGATCTCGATTTCCACAGATGGTTCGATATGGAAATAGGACTTACAGTTTAGTGCAAAAGTAAGTGAACTCCCATGCATTATGCATAAACATGCAAATAACTTTTTTAAGAAGCAACAAAATCACAAAGCAAGTGATGCAGATAATCAATGAACAAATATGTTTATTGTCCTGGGTTGGCTTGAATGTTCGTGCTTCAGCCAGTGAATAATCAGCAAAAAACTAAAAAACCAAGGGTGCAAAAGTAAGTGAACCCCTCGCTCAATATTTTGTTGCCCCACCCTTAGCCTCGACCACAGCAAGAAGGCGCTTCCTGTAGTTCCCCACGAGTCTCTCGCATCGCTCTCTGGGGATCATGCTCCACTCTTGCTTGCAGAACTCCTCCAGCTCNGGCTGGTGAATATCTTTAGGGGTTCACTTACTTTTGCACCCTTGGTTTTTTAGTTTTTTGCTGATTATTCACTGGCTGAAGCACGAACATTCAAGCCAACCCAGGACAATAAACAGCTTTGTTCATTGATTATCTGCATCACTTGTTTTGTGATTTTGTTTCTTCTTAAAAAAAGCTATTTGCATGTTTATGCATAATGCATGAGGGTTCACTTACTTTTGCACTAAACTGTAACTCACGTTCTTGAGCAGGGAAGAAGTGGAGGACTCGGACGAGGGTCGCGACGAGGATTCCCCTCGATTCATACCAAACGTTGACTCAAATGCATCCTAAATTAGACGGTAGATTGGAACATTATCGAAAGAAATTTTAACTCGTCTATAAATAGGGAAACCCCAGAGTGTTGTGGTACCTGGGTGCTGGGTCGACTGTTGGGACTCACGTATCGTGTTCCCCACATGTAAAGGGTGTTTTCCAGGGTACCCACCACTGTGAATGTAGCTCCACACGCTATCATCTGCATATTTCACATCCATCATTAATGCTACTCGGAACGTTTTAAGGCATTTCTACGGTGCAAGTTTCGTGAATTTCACTTGGAGCTTATTTCAGGGAATGCTATGAAAATCGTGTTACGTGTACATATCCTCTATAGAAATATCCCTTTTGAATGCGATTCTCAGGCCTTTCTGCAATTACGCATACCCACATCCCGCGAAGTATCTGCATTTTGATGGAATGAACTTGGTGCTAACAGCTCTAAATCCGGCTCTTCCTGGACGTTTTTCCTCCTTTCCAGTGATATTGACATCCCGGCTCCAATTCAATTCCGTTCCAATCATGGGGCTCGAGAGCGAGAGAAAGATGCATAGAGGAACTTTCTTATTAATCGAATGCTTCCAGGTAATTTCGACTTGAAATATGATCCAGTTTATCGAATTTTACTAGCTAAGAAATCCACAGCTGAAGGCTACATTTTTTCCGATAAAAACTAGGTGGGGAAGAGAGAAAGGGAGTGCATTCAGGGCTAAAACTTTTTCCTCGTCGCTTATATTTATTTTTAACATGGCTGCATGCAGTGAAAATGGAAGAGGAATCACTTGCTGCACAGGTCCCATTTCTATTTTTCGAAGCGTGAGTGTAGGTCACCGTATTTGATTTGGGATGGGAATCTGTCTTGGAGATGGTTCTCTTGAGCGCTAATGTAACGGGAAAACTGATCAACAAAGTCCTTCAGCAGAGCGCTCGTTTACTAAACGCACTCTGGACCTAAGGTGAGAAGAACGCTCTGCAAGCTGGATGCCCTACTGATTGCATATTGCAATTCCAACCTTCCAGTGTAAAGGAAGGTTGGAATTAGGGAAAGCGGAGGAAAGACATCAGTTTAAGGGAGTAAGAGCGAGATAAAAATGCAGGAAGGGGAAATTTAGGAGTCTTAGATGAATTTTTCATCTAAGACTCGATACGATTGCGATCTGCCTGGATGCCTAGGTTTCTCTGCGAAACCCAGACGCAAGTCTTTGACGCAATTCTGGGAAGCGGTAACCCAGGCTCATGGTCGCCATCTCTCATCTGTAAAGACGAATCCTATATATATATATACAGTAGCGCTCAAAAGTATTAGCACGATGTGATTTTTCGCCGTAAATCAACTGAACGCTGAAAGAAAGCGTTCCGACTGGAACACAACATGCGAGACTATTTCAAACTGGTCTTCGTAGTTTGAACACAGAGATCATTTTGATTTTTTAATTATATTTTCATCTATTTTTTGTTGGCGTCAACTGTGGACCTGTAATACGAGGTCTGGCGACAAAGCTCCCGGACTGATTTTTTTGTCAATATCACAAACATTATTTTCATTCCATGGACATATATATTAGACTGTTGGGCAGTGCTGTGTCAGTTCTCATCTGACTAGCACCTTGAATGAGAGTTTGGCTGGCAATGTAGCAACACAGTGTGTAAGACGTCTGTCACATTCCCAGCATGAAGCAATACTTCATCACATTTTGTCTCGACCCGGGGAATACAGCTGTAGCGATCCATCAAGTTTTGCAAGAATTGTCTTGTCATACTCCAAGAATCTTGAATAATTTTCAAGGCTTTCAGCCAGTAGAAATGACATTGAAAATAATGATTGGTTCAGCCATCCCTAGGGTGAATGGTTGGTGATGGTTGGGGTTGAGGTGGATCTGAGTGTCTTCACTACTTGCTAAAGACCTTGAAGGTCATTTTAAATTATTGGAGCATAACAAGGAACTTTTCAACACACTTCTGCAACATTTGATGGATTACTGCAGCTGTATTCCCCGGTTCGAGACAAAATGTGATGAAGCATTGCTTCACTCTGGGAATATGACAGACGCCTTTCACACTGCGTTGCTACATTGGCAGCCAAACTCTCATTCAAGGTGC